AGTGTTGAAAAGAAAAGGAAGAGGCAGAAGTAGAAGAGGGCTGTCTAAAGCTGCGGTTTTCTATTTCAGTCACAGTTTTAGGACAAGTTGGTCTGTCAAAGCTGCATCAAACACTAATAATTTAATATTGTCTTTAGCTGTATGACAGCAGTGTTTAAATAGATGTGTTAAAGTAACTGAGTTTCAGTAATTTTAGTCTCAAAAGAAACACACACATTAGGTACAAACCATGAATTGTGGCTCAATCTAACCAAAAGATTGCTTGCATCAAAATAGAAGTCTACGGATTATGTTTATGTAGAAAAGAAACAACTATTTTATTTAATTATGTATTCCCTTTTTTCTGGGGATGCCTGCAATGATGTGTCATTGGATTAAGGACTTTCTCACTAACAGGCCTCAAGTGGTGAGAATCGGAAGCTGCACATCATCCACACTGGTCCTGAACACAGGCGCACCACAGGGCTGTGTGCTCAGCCCAGTTCTCTTCACTCTGTTTAGGGAGGTGGTGGAGCAAGTGAATAACCTCAAGTTCGTGGGCATCCACATCACATCTGACCTGACCTGGTCTCTGAACACATCCTACCTGGTGAAGCAAGCCCAGCAAATGCTTTTCTTCCTCAGGAAACTGAAATGTGCTGGTCTCTCCTCTCAGTTGCTCGCAAACTTCTCCAGAGTGACAGTAGAGAGCATCCTCTGTCTCAGTGTGACAGTGTGGTACGTGAGCTGCACTGCACAGGACAGAAAGGACTTGACCCGGGTGATGAGAACAGCTCAGGGCATTGTAGGGAGTCCTCTTCTGGAGCTGGCCTCACTATACACTGACCGGATCCAGAGGAGGGCCAGACGGATTGCTGCAGACCCCGCCCACCCAGGCAACAATCTGTTTGTGCCTCTTCCTCCAGGAAAAGGTACAGGAATATAAAGACTAAAACAAACAGACTGAGACACAGCTTCTTCCCCAGAGCTGTGAAATCAATCACCCCCCCCCTAACCCCGAGTCACACAAACAACCTACCCCCTATGGACAGACACAGACAGAACACTGGACCTCTGCAGACACACACCCATGCTCACACCTCATCCTAAAGACTGAGATTTGCATTGAGCTGCACCTTATAATGTTACTACACTCTGTTGCTGCTAATATGCTGTTGACCTGATTAGGTCCCATACATCCCCTTTTATCTGCTCATTGTTTTATATTGACTTATACAATCGTGTGTTAGGTAAATAATGTGTCTTTTAAGCTGAGAGCTGCTGGAAAACATTTTGTTGTGCTATGCATAATGACAATAAAGATTCTTGACTTGACTTTTCATGAAGTGACTGAACAATGTGTACTTTTTTATTAGTAAGTTTTTTAAATGAAGCACTTATAATGAAGTTCTCAGTGTTAAGTACAAAATAAGTCTTTGCAGAAAAATACTAAGCCAAAGGAAACAGATTAGAGATCTGGGGAAGTTATATTTTTTTCCTTCTCCTGTCTACAAAGAGTGACAAAAGTAAAAGTATTTTCAGGGGGAGTTATCCCACCGCTGCACATTCTGCTGTTATATGTTGTGGTTTTAATGGCACAGCAGTAAAGATTAATAATGAGGAAACACCTGAAGAGGAAGTTCTATTGTTTATACTATGGGACAATTAATTTGCAAAGAGAAAGTAATATGATGGAAATCAGATTCCATGATCATGTTCAGAAAAAGCACACATAGAGTTTAGACTTTTTCAGTAATAAAGCTCTCGTAGTAGTGCTTAATAAATGTTTATACACTATAGGAACATTGTAGTAACTCAGCGACACTTTGCAATTTCCATTGGTCTTAAATTCCTTGCATAAACTGTAATAGGTATTTTGCAACTTCCCAAATTAGCATACATACTGCTACAGTATTAGTAACTATATGAGGATTTTACAAAAAACATTTTAGAGGTAGAGCAACAATGGTTAAAATTCCATATTTATTATGCAAATGCATGTCTTTTAACTCTATTGCTGATATATGTCATGAACTAGCAAAATTGAACCATGAACTATAAAATTGCAGTGTTGAAATTAGGTGCTTATTTTATAGAAAGGACACTGAAGAGGTGAATATGTTCAAAGGTACTGAATCTCAGGTGACCACATCTGAATTTAAGAGGCCTTTAATCCAATTGCAAATACACAAATACAAAGGGGCAAAAATATCAGCAGTATGTCACAAACATCACAAGAACATATACATGTATGCTATTTGGCAGAGGCTGTAAGGAGCATGTAAGATTTGTTGGACTCTGAAACAAGTTGAAACAAGGCACATACAGTAATGGCTGGTGTGGCAATGGACTGTAGTTGATTAACATTAGACTGGACTGAAGGACGTGAGTGACTCTATATACTGTATAAAGAGTGAGATTATGCATTCTTACCTGGAAGGAAAAGGGATATCCCTGCTCCAAATTTCTTCAGGAAGGATTCCTGCACTGGAGACCTGGTCGTGTTTCTATCTGTAGGCGGATGCACCTGGACATGCTGCATCCAGATGTCTCTCCTGAAGAACAGCCCAGTGACATCCAAGTCTTCACTGCCATACCCCAGCTGCTAATAAGAGAAAAACCGACAGTGTTAGGTTTCACAGAGATGCACATACAGTATATGTGCATATGCTAGGATGCAAAGCAGGCACTGTGCCACGCACCAACTACTTCCTCTGAATCGACATAGTCTACAAAGTCTCTCTTCCCCAAGTACAGGGCAGTTTGACCGAAACACAGAAAAACAGAGAGGAAAAGAGCTATTCCTTTGCCAAGGTTACAAGTTATTCTGGGAGTTGGAAGAGCTACATACAAATTGCACTCCTCCCTATCCCCAATGGGTGCCCTCTAATGACTATATTACAGCAGCCACTTACATATCCATTGCCACTGGCTTTCTTACAAACTCTGAAAAGAGAGAAAAAAGGAAATGGTATTAAATCACACTATTTCAAACTTTAAACATCTTAGGCCCATTAAAAATATTTGCTAAAAACACAAAATGTTTAAGGCCAAGTCCAAATGTACCCTCCATAATGTACAGTGGTGTGAAAAAGTGTTTGCCCCCTTACTGATTTCTTATCTTTTTGCATGTTTGTCACACTGTAATGTTTCAGATCGTCAAACAAATTTATATATTAGTCAAAGATAACACAAGTAAACACATCATGCAGTTTTTAAATGAAGGTTTTTATTATTAAGGGAAAACAAAATCCAAAACTATATAGCCCTGTGTGAACAAGTGTTTGCCCCCTAAACCTAATAACTGGTTGGGCCACCCTTAGCAGCAACAACTGCAATCAAGCGTTTTCGATAACTTGCCATGAGTCTTCCACAGCGCTGTGGAGGAATTTTGGCCCACTCATCTTTGCAGAATTGTTGTAAGCCAGCCACATTGGAGGGTTTTCGGGCATGAACCGCCTTTTTAAGGTCATGCCACAGCATCTCAATTTTTTCCATTTCTGAAGTGGTCTTATGCCATGATTTTGTACACCTACAATCTACTTGTTTTTCAATTATGGTGTATGCCCCCGCTCTCCACCCACCTGCCTGCCTGCTCCACTCCTGTGAGGACAGATTAGATTGCAAAAGCATTTGCACAAATATCCCATCTGCATATAAGATGCAAGTCTGATTTGGTAAGTCTATATATAATAGTCATGTTCTTGATATTGACACAGGTAAGCTTTGTTATGTCAGCTGTTATGCTTAAATGGATGGTGCTAACTTCCCTACAAGATGGCCTATTAGTAGTGCATCCCTGCACTAATCCACAACTCATCCTACACTATGTTGTTGCAGAAACTAGACTCATTATACTGCATGTTGAACATGTGTTGGTGAATGTGTCAAATTATGTTTCAATGTCCCAAAATATTGAGTGTTTTTCTTAATATCACATCGCCTTTGCTCTGTTCATATAGCACAAACAAACAAGTAGTGTTTGGTGGTGTGTGGCAAGTGTTTCCCTCTTAAAATATTTCCTTTGTCTTATAGACCTCTCTTCAAAGAGCAAAGCCACACAGTCCGTCTTAATCGGGATTTACCCCTATCCTGGAAGACTTGAGTGTTAGAGGAGTCACAGAGACTGTAGTGTCTCTGCCAAGGTGTTAAATTGTTCCATTTAAGCTACTGTGCTTGTTTCTTCTGAAGGAATGATCACTTTGACCCCTGCATGGATCCTGGCTGACTCTTGGTTCCATCAAATGAGCTCAAACATGGCATATGGAGTGTTGAGTCGGAAAATTTGAGTAGCTGAAGTTACTTTGACGTGACAACACTGATAAATATTTAGTAAATGCTGATGCTCTTCTGGTCATTAACTGTGATATTATTATCTTGAATAAATATCGACTCAGAATATTTGTACTGTTGTACTGTTAGAGAAACAGCTCACTTACAGTCCCCTCAGTTCCGTGAATGAGTCTGCTGTAATCCGTCACTGTTGATAACATTAGCATGTGTGAGTGTCAATCACTACTTTCTGTTACTTTTATACTGTGACCTCACAACCTTGCAGCCCTTCCTTCAGCTTATGAAACTTATCATAGATTCATTGGAACAGTAATGTTCAGAGCATATGCAAGAATATTGTCAATGTGACTTCAATAGAATAAATAAGCCAATGATTTTATACAGGTCCTGTGCTGGAGGACATGAACAATATTGTCTACTCCACATTT